CAAGTATGGTATTGATAAACAAATAAATAGATACGCACACATTTTGCATGCATCTAATCCACACTCTTCATAATTTAAAGGAATATTTACCCAAAATAAAAGTTTACTCATTGTTTACCTGTCCTCAAGTGGTTCCAAACAGTTATTAATCAATATTTGATTATATAAACAATAGTCAACATTTGAAATGTGTCAAAAACCTTCACCAAATGTCCCAAGTATTCAGCAACACCCATACTTGTCTTACGACAATTTTGAAATTTGATCCACTTCAAATGTTCAGTACTGTATATAATACACTGATGTGAGTATTTACCAACAAAGGATTAACAAGACTTTTACCGCTATTAAAAATCAGAGTTTTACATTTACTAATGCTTTATTAAAATCAAATTTTGTTCAGTTATTTAGCAAACGCTTTTATCCAACAAATCGAGTTATCAAACCAGAAAAAGAGCAACAAGTACTCCATGCAGGAACAGGACATCAACATGACGTCATATTGACGTTGTACCCCATTATACCCCATTGTTGTGGGGACATTGTATTTTGTTTGAAGCTTAAAATTGGGTTGACGCCAGAACCCAACATCAGGAGGACGTTAATGTCCACCGTCCAACATAAAATCAACCTAAAATAAATACCAAATATTAACAGAGTAATCATGTTAAACCTTGACGTTATGTAGACGCTACCACTATGACATCTATTAGATGTTGGATTTTGGTCACTTTTCAACACAACCTAAAATCAACCTAATATCAATTAATTTTGATGTCTTTATTGGACATCAACATAACTTTGTCCTTAGACGCTGGCTAGACATTTTGGTCACCTGACGTCATGACTAAAATCTAACCTAGTATTAACTTCTTTTGATGTTGTGTGCCTGCTGCATCTTTAGGTTTTGTCTTAAAAATGACAGTATGAACGCTTAGTAAAACAGTATTAAGATTGTGACTTGGATCAAACAAGTCAAAATAATAATAATCGTCAGGGTTCCAATGGTTCATGGGATTTCGTTTATATCATAATGTATCTTATAAACCATCTAATGCCTTCTACATCACAATTGAAAAAAAAAAAAATCTGTTAAAATCACCGCAACAAAAGCATTAGAAATGTCATGGTCAAATTTCTCATTTTAGCTATCATGTTAAAATAGTCTTTGTCTGAATGATCATGGCTATGAGCATTTTGCATGCTGCTTATGTGCCCCTCGCACCTGGCGTTTTAACTGCCTGCTGTGCCTTCCATTTTTTCCGTTGTGCTCTGTGCACTGGCAGTTGAAAAAAAGGAAACTCTAAGCGGAAAAAGCGTATAACGTTACTCGTGTCTTTTTCATTCTCCAATCAAATGAAAGCAGAGGCGAGGTTTCCGTCGAGGTTCCTGCAGTGTTTGTGTTGTCAAGACAACTACAGAGACTTTTGAAGATGAAGGAGAGACTAGTGGTTGTTTTGGATTTTCAGGAAATGTTTGAAATTTTGAATATCACATTATTAAATATTAAAATTATAACAAAATCAACAACTCGTGCACAATACGCAGGTGATTCAGGCGTTAAAATGGCACAACACTTCTTTTTTTTTTTTTTGTCAATAAAAAGGCAGTGTTGTACGCCTCACATTTTTGCAATGTAAAAGCATGTTCGGTGTGATCGGTCCCTAACAGTATATTTTTTTAAACCTTTCAACACCTCCTCACTATAGCAGGCGACGTTACAAATGAATCACGCTGCTCAAGTGAACTCCTAAAAACAACAAGCATTAGTTATAATACCAATAATGGTAGTTTAAAGATATGTAAGACCAAAACACATATGATGTTTGGAAGATATGTATTAAGAAATGCATTGGCATGCAGTTGGTCAATCTTTTTAGGTTGTTCTCAGAGCATTGGTCCACATCAGAAGAGCCTATCCTAGGAAAATAAGTTCAATAGATGAAGCGAGATTCTTATTGTACATACTTTTAACATAATTGAACTACTAAACTTTGTGTAATTAATATTTGTTAGTTAAACATAAATTAAATGAATTAGAACAAGATTTATGCAATAATATCTTTAAACCCCCCTTTTTTTTTAATGGTTCTTTTTAATTCTGGAGTACGGAGCTGTGTAAATTTGGCAAGTAAACCAATCTCAGAATTTAACTAATTGGTTCAGGCTTTTTTATAGATATATATTTAGACCATATTCATATCTATTAACTGATTAAATCTTATACTATTCGGTTCATCTTTGGATTGATTAAAATTCTTACATTAAAAATAAATAAAACAGACAAATTAAGTAAAATCTGAAGGTTTACTTTATCGTGGTTTAAGTGTGCTTAAGGTTATGAATGTTTTGGGATTTACTGTATACATGGGGTAAAAGTGAAATGTACAAGTAAATCTTTACAAAGTCAAATATGCAGGAGCAGAATCAACTTTCCATTCTCTCTGTATTTATCTCTCATCTTTGTGTGGTTATTTTCAAGGTCTCTTCATTGTATTTCTTGTCTTCTGCTGGCTTTAGCTGCTCCATTATCACATTTCTGTTGTGCTTTTTATAAGAGTATCCATACATGGTGCTTGGCACTCAGTACCTTATTGTGTTTTCTTTCTTTTGTTATGTTTTGGGATTATTCTTTAAGATTGGCTTGTCTAATAAATACAGAAAAATGGTCTTCATACTAATGGGTTGTTCTTTGGGTTTTTGATGGGTGGTATAGATTCGAGTAAAATGTTGATTTTGATTAAACAACTGATGAAATTTATTCAGAATTTCAGTTGTTGTCATTACAGCATTAGATTTCTTAAGACAAACAAAAAAGTAACATGTTTTCAGACATGTTTATGATCATTTTAGACAACACAATAACTACAATACAATGTGTTAACTTCAGAAAAGTAAATAAATCAATATTTGGTGAAATAATCCTACTTTTCAATCACAGTTTTTCTTTAAAAGTCAGCTTTTTAAAATAATCAAATATATACATGGTTCTATATTTAGTAAAATATTTTTCTTCTTTATTCTTTAATTTACATTTGAGGCAATTTGAGACTAATTTTGAATATATATATATATATATATATATATATATATATATATATATATATATATATATATATATATATATATATATATATATATATTTTCCATTTGGATTGTGAACATTATATTCTATATTTTTATTTTACTTGAAGATAGATGACAAAAGCTTCTCAATTCTAAGGAGATAATATTTCTCAGTGTCAGTATTAAAAATCAAAAGTTATTGTAATTTATATTTTTCAAATGTGGAAGAACGGTATTTGTCCAGATTGAGTGGAATAATAGTATAACTGCAGTTCATATCACTAAAGATCTAATTCCTTTATCTTAGTTTTAAAACACTAGCAGAAACTTCAGGTTAATATTATGCATTTTTTTAAGTTTATTATTATTGTTATTTATATTATTATTATTATTACTATTATTATTATTATTATTATTATTATTATTATTATTATTATTATTATTTAAACAGAAAATACAGTATGAACAATCTGATATAGGCATGGACATATACAGTTGAAGTCAGAATTATATAATTTTTAGTTCCCCTGTTTATTTTTTCCCCCAATTTCCTTTTAAAAAAATTTCAAAACATTTCGAAAAAGAAATTAGCTTAAAGGTGCTAATAATTTTTTCCCAAAAATGTTTTTTTTTTTTAAATGTAAAACTGCTTTTATTCTAGCCAAAATAAAACAAATAAGACTTTCTCCAGAAGAAGAAAAATATTATCAGACATACTGTGGCATTTTCTTTGCTCTGTTAAACATCATTTGGGAAATATAAAAAATAAAAATAAAAAGTCAAAGGGCTGCTTTGTGTGTTGTCACGCTTAACAAGCCGATGAAAACTGAACTGGTTTTTAACAATACAGATGGCATGGAATGAAACTGAACAGTGTGAATTATTGTTAATTAATTAATTATTAGTATTATTAATTATAAATGTATATTAATAAACTATTAATTATTCATTTAAAATAATAATAATACTTATTATTATTACTTAAAACCAGAAAATATAGCATGAACAATGCACAATACATAGACTTTCTTGCAGTACAGACAACAACAATCAATTATTAATAATAAACAATACATAAATATAACAATAAATACATACAATGCAGACATGGATGATAGCTAAATATTGACATTTATTTAGAAAAGCTGGCGCATCGAGTATACTAAAAGTATACTACTTTAAACTGTTCCCGTGCTCCGCCATCTCACAATATAAATACATATATTAACAAATAAACTCTGCTTGCCGTAGTTTACACAGGACTGGTGGGAAATATGCATTGACACAGCTTCCCTCCAGGACCGAGATTGGTGACCCCTGACATATACTGTACAGTTCTTCCCAAGCATTCCTCAAAGCCTTCCTTAATCTGTCCTTCTATTTGTTCATATCGGCTCATATCCTTTTTTTTGCAGAGGATTTGTCTTTTAATGTCAGAAGCAGACATTACAGCAAGTGGCATTTCTATTCTTTGTAGACATAAAAGCATTGTTCACTAACGCTATTTTAATGTTTAAAATACAGACTCTTGGTTACCTGAAAATATGCCCAAAGTGATTCTGTACACAAAATTTACACGCAAAATTTATTTAAAAATAAAAAAATATAAATATTTTTTTGGACTTATGGATGTTTGTCACATGCACTCATTTGTTTACATTGATCTTTTGTACGATTATTTATTTTTTATACATGGCGTGGTACGATGTAATTTAATGCATTGCTTCTTGTTCAGTCAGGCAGTGAAAATCATTGATTTTTTTAAAGAAACCAGATCTTAAACGCTGCGATTTTATAATGGCAGGACAGTTTATTGGAAGCGCCTGAGCTGGCTTATTCCAAATTAAAAGTGTGCATATACCCCGTTGTCCCCAATTGAAAAATCATCCTCATACGACAAGCATACCTGTTCACGCATGGTCTATATTTTGCAGGCCTTCTCCTGGTGGCCAGAGGCGATGGCTGAGCATGCAGAAATCTTTCTCTCACTCTACACAGTGGACATGGATGCAGCATTGGCTGTACAACAGCAAGACTCCTGGGACAGTTTTCCCCTATTTCAGCTGCTCAATAACTTCCTCCGGACTGACCGTGCGTATTATTTATCTTTCCTTTTCCTGTGGGTCAAACTCAAAAAACATCTTCTAAAGAAAGTTCTTAAAGTGAACCCTGGATATAAACACTTTAATGCCTTAATATAATGTAAAAATGTTAAAGTATTTAAGTTATTCCAAAAAATTCACATTTACTTTGAGCCATGAGCACCACTATTGTTTTCAAAAACTGCTTTTCCAGTATTGTGCTGAATTGTTCCTCAAGCAGAACCGTTCCATTCCGTGCCAAACCGGGCCAGACAACATGGATACGGTTTTATTTTCCACTGTCGTGCTGCAACATAGCTCTTTAAAACATTACACAAAACACATCAGTAGTTGTCTTGGTAACGCAATGTAAATGGCTCATTTTGTTCAATTAAATTTAAATAATAGCTGAAACTAGTTTTTTTCATGTTCTTAAAAACGAAAGCAACCGCATGACTAAACACTGCTGTGCCACTCTATCAAATAGGAGTGGCCAAATATAGGTACATGTCATATTTAGAGGTCATATGTTGCGCGGCTCTGCCTAAATTTTATTTGGAGATAAAATTACCAAAATGTCACGTGATAATTGAAAACAAATGGAGGAGGAATAAATGATGCATTTAAAATCTCTGAACATAACAGAAAATTAAACAATGATTATGCAACAATAATAGTGCATTTGTATTATAGTAGCAGAAATATATTTCTGGACAGGCCTTGTCAAAGTGAGCGGGCACTTACACTAGAAAAAATATAGCACTTAAATTTTTTCATTTTTAACAATCAATTATATTACACAGTGGTTTTATATCAAAAGTTGATAATGATATAAAATATACTTCGTTTTGATGGTAAAAAATATAACCCTTTAAGTGATGGCTGTTATTTGTTTCAGTATTCTAACATTAAAATAATAAACGAATATGAAACAACACATACAGTTGAAGTCAGAGTTATTAGCCCCCAAGCTTAACTAGGTTAATTAGGTTAACTTGGCAGGTTAGGGTAGTTTGGTAAGTTATTGTATAACGATGGTTTGTTTTGTAAACTATCGAAAAACTTTATAGCTTAAAGGGGCTAATAATTTATCCCTAAAGTGAGTTTTAAAAAATGTAAAACTGCTTTTATTCTAGCCAAACTAAAAGTATAAAGACTTTCTCCAGAAACAAAAAATATTGTCAGACATAAAGTGAAAATGTCCTTGCTCTGTTAAACATCATTTGGGAAATATTTAAAAAAGAAAAAATTATTCAAAGGGGGGCTAATAATTCTGACTTTAACTGTATATATCAGGATATAAAGCATATAAAGCACTATTATTTTTAGCAAAATACTGCTCTTTTATTTTTGTAATTTTATCGTTTTATTTTTGTTAGTTTAATTATTTTTGTTTTCATAATTAACCAACAAGCTGTAGACAAATTCCTGTCTAGGATTGACGTTTTAGAAAATAATTGTGTAGCTACCCAGTATATATTATACATGTTTACATTGTCTTAAATTAAAAATGTAGATTTAGAATAATAATATAATATTAATTATTTGTGCTTTATATTATTGTAGAATTTTATTGTTAATGTAGAGTGACGTTATAAAGTACACTGCCGTTCCATTTGAAGAAGTACCCGACTTGTGTCCTCACATCCTCGGGAGTTCGTTCTTCCAAGTCTGAACTTGGCAAGTTTGAACATCCAAGGACGCAAGTCCGAACTTTGCGTACTTATTATTAAAAAAACAGCCTCAGTTTGTGAGAAAGAAAATGAGAGACAAACTGTGAGGAGACTCATGATTTTTTTAGTTTATAAAGTTAAAATGCAAAGAAATAAACAATACGTGATTTAATTCCCTGCTACATGTGTTATTTGTAATTCCATATACACAACCACAAATGATTATATCATCATAAAGATAAAGATGTTTATATGAACACTGAATGAGGAAGACTAAAATATAAAAATATACATATAAATGCATTAAGGTCATTTACTTTAATTATTACTATTGGAATGTTAAGAGACTTTTAACCAGCACTACAAATAATGTTTCTGAAGACAGTCACCTACTGCACCTTTACACATCACGTGTGATAAGTTTGGTAAAAAATAAAACTAACATTAGTTGTCATTAATCTTAACTTTACTAAGTCCTTTTAAGAAGTCTTTTTATGAATTTAAATGCTGAAGGAAAATTTTAAACAATATAACGGGGAAACTAAATAGTCAGAACTTTTTCCACAGGTTAGAAAATAAGAAGAAAACTGCAGTTAAGAAATGTCTTCTTAAGACTGTTTTGTGAATCCGGCATCCCCCCTAAAGCTCACATTTGTCAAAAGTTCTGATCACATGTTCTCACTGCTAAGCACGCTAATTAACACCAGTGTTGCTTTGGAAAACAATACTTGTTAGAAGAGCAGGTTAACATGCTGTGCTCTGTTATTGTCAACACGCTAATTAGATATACAGTGTGATCGGTTAGTGGCACTGGAGGCTAAATTATCTTCACTGGTTTGAAATTCGCCAGAGCAAATACTTGAATTCTGCTGAAGAGGTCACTTTTTGTGAAACCCAGAGCGTTCGAGATGTCCTGAACACCAGTACTTGTCGCAATTAGCCAGACATGATCTTGTATATCATTTTTACGTCCTTCAAAATTTGAGTTGTTGCTCTATTGATAGAATTAAAGCTACAGCCAAGATTGGTTTGCATGACTGTGACATTTGCGACGGTGATAAAGACACTTGCTTTACTGTCTCATTTAAACAGCAGTTTGTTTGGAATAGATATGGTTAGTTATCTAGGGAGCATGACAATGGAGATGGCAGCCTCTAATAACACAGATAGTTGGCAGAAAGATATAGAAAACTCCCACACTCTTTCATATATGAACTTTCTTGAAAAGAGCCCGTCATATTGCTTCTCTGCCCCGTTCTCACTAAATTAATCACTCAGAAAATAATCTCTTTTATTTTCAAAGGTAGCACTCAATGCCGGCTGGTAAATATAATGTTTGGGGGAGGGGGGGTACAATTATTTCAAACATTCATTCATTCATTTTCTTGTTGGCTTAGTCCCTTTATTATTCCGGGGTCGCCACAGTGGAATGAACCACCAACTTATCCAGCACGTTTTTACACAGCGGTTGCCCTTCCAGCCGCAACCCATCTCTGGGAAAAATTCACACACACTAATTCAAACACACTCATACACTAGGGACAATTTAGCCTACCCAATTCACCTGTACTGCATGTCTTTAGACAGAGGCGAAACCGGAGCATGTTTAATTAGCAGTTAAATAATTATAATAAATAATAATTATAAAAAAAGGTACAGCGATTCTGATTTAGTTATAAAAATGCTACGGTATTTAGTCTGTTATATTTCAGTAGTGCACTTTTTTGTTTAATTGTAGCTAACCAAATTGAGATTTAAGGTACATTTATGCAAGGATAACTAAACTAGTTTTAAAACACATCAGTACTTCACACCAAATGCATTATTAAGTATTAGCGTGAGTAAGTTGCATACAAAGTTAATGAAAATGTGAGAACAGAGTGGTTATTTCCACCTTGCAGTATGAATGACATGGAATGCGTGCTCTTTATGTACTTAAAGTTACCTAAGGAGAGAAGAAGAGGGAGAGCTAGGCGTAGAACTTGATGAGGAGCTATGGAATAATATCCTTGCTAAAACCAGAAGCAATGCTTGTTAGATGTTGGATCCACTTTTCCTTGTTATTTTTCCAGCACAAGTTTAGGCCCAATCCCAATTCTGTTTTTGTACCTCTACCCCTTTCCCTTCCTCTTAGTCCTAACAAACAAGGGTTAAGGGGAAGGGCTTCAAAATTTACCACTAAGAATGGGGGCAGCACTACAGCACCTGCACACGTCATCATATATTAATATATTAAAATGTGTTTGTTTGTTGTAAAAGTTCTTAATAATGACAAAAAGTACTAATTTGTGGATCTTCTTACTTCCGGGTGCAGCTGTGGCTGGTGTATTCTGGGAAATTTTTCTTACCCCTTGGTTTCAAGTGTGGTCCTGAAAAATCTTCGTTTGAAGGGGTGTATACCCCTTGCCCTTAGCTCTACGCCTTCAAGCTAAATAGAATTGGGACACCACTACCCCTTCACGGACACGCGCAAAACAAGGGGTAGGGATAAGGGGAAGGGCTAAGGCGTAGAATTGGGATTGGGCCTTAGTGGTTCTGATATTAATTTCTTAGCTTTATCAAATAGTTTAATTGTGAGTCTAGGAACTGCATGTGTTTTTTTTTCCATGTAGAGCTGCTTGTATTGTGAAATGTGGCAGCAGGTATATTCATATTGTAGTACATGTCAAATTCACTTCCAGTGTCAAGCTTTTATTATTGTAGATATGCTGGATAATTTGCGCAGGATAACTTGTGTACTTCGTCATTGGTAATCATCGAGTGGTATTGAAGCTTAAGAGAGCGTCTTAGTGCTCGTAAACACTGGGACGTTTTTCGTTTGTGTTTATCAGCAGTGTTTTACGAGATGTTTTTCCGCATTCAAACCCATAGCTTTTCATGGGCGTCAAGCAGAAGAGTATGGAAAATCGCTCCTTGACATTAGATGGCGCTACACAACTTTAAGTTTCTGACACTCGCTTATAACACAGAAGAAGAGAAAGAGAGGAAGTGTTGTTAAAGTTACTCATGACTCCAACAAGCATGGATGGTTCAAGTAGCAGCTCAAGCTCAAGCGATGAAGAAATGATTATTGTTCACAGAGCAATAAGCAGCTCCACGTTCAAATCGCCTCTGGGCTTCTTCAATGTGCACTTGCATTGACAGTTTTGCGCTTGAGCGCCTCTAAGTGCTGTTTACTGTTACTTCAGCAATCTGATTGGTGGAGAAGGCTTTGACACGGCGCGTCTAAATAAAAAAAAATTAAAAACGAGCATGAGGGATTTTTTTAAATTGATACTTTTGCGCCTGGCGTTTTGCACGTTGGTGTGTTAAGTGTTAAGACAATGGGTTTACTGATTTTTTTCTAAATAAAATCAACTTATTACTTTCAAGGCAAGACTTTTACTCTTTTTTTTAAAGGGTACCTATTTGACCCCTTTTTCAAGATTTAATATAAGTCTTTTGTGTCTCTGGAATGTGTCTGTAACGTTTCAGTTTAAAACACCCATCAGATTATTTATTGTACCTTTTTAAATCTTGGAAACTTCAGCTTTTATGATGTTGTAGCTGTTTTTAATGCCTTTGCCTTTAATACAAATGAGCTGGTTCTTCCTGACCACCCTTCCAACGTGCATGTCAGAGCCAGAGATCTCTGTAGCCTTTACATAGATAAACAGCACAGTGACAGACAAAAATGAAGCAGATCTCCCTTACTACATTAAGAACTTTCCTAAATGTTATTTGATATATTTGTTGTGTATTTCAAGTCTTTATGCAACAATGAGTTACACACACAATGCCGTTTTAAACACACACACACACACGTTTAGTTTCGCACTGTTTTTGCATGGCAAATGTGACAGGATACACGTTAATATCCACTGCTGTATCGATATCCATTATGTTTAGTAACAAAATAAACCTGATTTAACATCCACAAACCGGAATTAATTTATATACCTGAATTTCTTTCATAATTGTACTGACACTATACGCCTGTGGTGATGAATTATGTCACGATTGTATTGTCTTTATAACCATCATTGTCTTTACAACCATCATTTTAAAAACTTTTTTAAATTGTAAAACTCAAGAATGAGGTACAGATGATCACAGAGAGCTGAAATTTTTTAACCCCAGTTTTGTGCCTGTCTTATCTTGTGAATATGATTATACGCGTTACTAAGGACACATGTTAATGCGTAGTTGTCAATCAATTTGGTGGGTGTTGAAACCACACTCCTATGTCATGTTGTGGTGGGCCTCAAAATGAAAAAATTATGTCAGGAAATAAAAAAAAGAGACTTGAGTTTCTATCACTTCAATATGACTGTGGACACATTATACCTACAAACAGATCTGTCCAAACAGCTTACAAAAGTTGATTTTTATCATAGGTGCCCTTTAAAGTAAAGTAACTTATTACTTTTTAAAGTGTATATATGTACAATAAATATATAAAAATGTACAACTATGGTTAACACTATGAATATTATTAATAAATAATACATTTCTGTCATTTTTTCTGATATTAGAGTGTCATTGTCAGAAGATATTCTATCAACTAAATAGTCACAAAAGTCAAAAGTAAAAAAAAAAATAAGTTGAGCTCTAATATTATTCAAATAAACAGTTTTTAGTCTAAATTATGCTAAATTATTATCAGTTTTTTTAAACTGAATGAGACCTTTCGTATCAGAGTTGAGTGAACTTGTCAATTCAAATCTGCAAAATATAGTCGTAGATTTTATGGATGATTAAAATAGTTGAAAGGGCATGAGTATCTCATTGTTAGCTTCATTTCTTTTAAAATCTTTTTTTAAACACTTATAGCAGATAACACTCAGTACCACCAATTTCTAAACTTCCAGATTTTTTTTTTTTTTTGTGCTCATGACAAAAAAAAAAAAAAAAAAATGTTATGACATTGACGCTAAATGCTCAAATGAGTTTCATCATTGTTAAATGGTTGGGAAATGAGCTCACACACCCATGAGAGTAAAAAGGCTAGTGTTAATGATGAAGAACAGAGAGATGGGAATTACACTTAATGATGCCTGAGGAGACTCTCTCTCTCTCTCTCCTTATCTCTCTCTCTTTCTCTCTCAGATACCCATTTCTTTCTGAATGCTTTAATTACATTGTGCATTTACACGTATGGGAAATTGGGTAGGCTGTGCCACAAAATACTGGACATCTTATTGAGGAAATGAAAAGAGAAATGAGAATTAAAACTAAATTGATGAATCATTCATTTTTCTTCGGCTTAGTCCCTTTATTCATCAGGGGTCGTCACAGCGGAATGAAACACCAACTTATTTAGCATATATTTTACACAGCGGATACCTTTCCACCTTCAACCCAGTACTGGGAAACATCCATACTCACTCATTTACACACATAAACTGCGGCCACTAATTAGTAGCAAAATCACTTGTTCCCTATCACAACAAAGCATTTTGCATTATTATGTTTACATCATACATACATTCAGTTTTCTGCTAATTATATGCTTTTGCATGACTCAAACAGACAAACACACACACAATCGGATATAATTTACTAGATCTTACAATTCTGGAATGAGTCTTATACATGTACAGAACTGTGAAAAAGTCTTAAGCACTAGGAAATAGGTACAAAAAAAAACAACAACAACAAAGCAACATTTCCTCTTCAAGCAAAGTCTATGTATAAAGTGGCTTCCCTTTGCACCAAGCACAGCTTGAACAGTTTGTTCTGATTGTCCTGACATTTTCTGAAATAATTTGCTGTGTAATATCAAGCTTCTTTTGGCACTTTTCAGAGTTCTTTTTAGGTTTAGAGTGTCATATATTTTTTTCTGTCTAGGTCATTTCATACAGCCTCTATAATATTCAGGTCTAAACACTGTGGAGGCCATTTCATGACTGTCTGTGTTTCATTAGCTGTTTTCTTTCTACAAAAAGAAAAATCATTATCATGCTGGAAATAAAAGCTATTTGGTCATTTCCAGAAGCAATTGCATAGTAGATTAAAACCTGTTAGTACTTTTTAACATTCACCATTCTATCAATTTAGACAACATTGCTCGAAATACAATATTTGTTTGAGCTGTAGAAATGCACCTCATACCAAGACAAACAGTCTCACTTCATCATTGTCTTTCACATGTCTTAAAAAATTAACCAAAATAACTCTAACCTAACTCCTATCATACCAAACCATGCATCAACTGAAAGACCATGCATTCACCCTGTATGAATCTTAATTTAAATAGAAAAAAAAAAGTTGACAAAAAAAAAAAAACAAATACATTAATGTCTGATTTTGTGGTAAAGGGTCACATATATCCATTATACGATCGGTAAAACAACAGATTTAATGTTGGCTTAAACTTTTACACAGTACCGTATATATACAGTTGAAGTCAGAATTATTAGCCCCCTTTATGATATATATATATAATACTATATTTATAAATTCATAAATGTGTTCATCATTTTCTCCAGCTCACCTGTGCAATGGGACATTCCATAAGCACCTGCAGGACCTTTACAGCCCTCTGGTGGTGCGTTACATTGACCTGATGGAGTCGTCCATCGCTCAGTCCATTCATCGTGGTTTTGAACAGGAGACATGGCAGTCTGTGAAGTAAGTAGAATCGACCTGGACTTTGTGTAGGTGTTTTTACATTGATCTCTTTTGCGTTTTGGAGAAAAAGTTGCAGGGTTTGTTTACACGTGTTAGGTTGTATTTCCAGGAAACCAATTTACTTCACGTTTCAGAGAACAGGAGATAATTGGACAGAGGGAATAGAATGGAGCCTAATAGATCTTTTCCCTTTAATGCTCATCCTTAAATGCCTTCGTGCTTTTCTGATTTATACCTCAGTCTCTTGTTTATTCTCTATATATTTAATTTGATGTGAATGAAAACAAGAGACATTCAGTTTCATTCAGGCAAAATATTCTGTGGAATTAAGCAAAACTTCAGAAAACAGTGCTTGTGAAAATGAGACTTTATGTAGAACTTTATCTCTTGTGTTCTGTTAAAAATGACTTTAAGTTTGTCTTTGTAAAAAAAATTTCCCCTGTGATGTTCATCTAAAATAATAATTCTGCTAATAATTTGTCTCTAATCATTTCTTAGTAGTAGTAGTATTAGTAGTAGTAGTAGTTGTTGTAGTACATTTACACTAGTGGAACTACAAATCCGCTGATATATATGGACTACAAGGTCCAGTCATGTGCCACACACTCACACCTGTTCCGTGTTTCCCACTGATTGCTAACACACACAGCTGAAGCTGTTCAGATTGATTACATGAACTTTAAAAGCAGACAACATGAACAAACAAACAAGGCGAGGGTCAAAATAAGGCATTGCAAGGAAAACGCGTTGTAATGTTTACTATTCAGTTTGACAAGACTCAGCACCTGGTGTGTGTGTGTGTGTCTGTGCTGCTTTTATAAATAGTCCAACTAATTAATCTTTGAGCAGCTACATCTGTGTGTGTTAGCAATCAGTGGAAAAACGGAACAGGTGTGAGTGTGTGGTGCATGACTGAACCTTGCAGTCAATATATCGGCGGATTTGTAGTTCTATTTGATCTGTGAGTTTACCAGCAATCTGTAAGGATTAGAACACTTGCGATTTTGACAGTGATCATAATTTTTATCTTTTGAAATCTTTTGAATTGAAAAATTATTTAATATTTTGAAAATTTTACCTTGTTAAAAACATTTGTAATAAAATATAATAAAATACCATCTATATAATTTAACTGCAGTATATATGAGTAATATTAAGTAGTATTAAAATATATTTTTATTAAAGTAATTTTAAAACAATAAATATGTTTTCTTGCCTAATAAAATAGTTAAATTTGTTTATTTCTATTTTATACAGTTGGAACCAAAAGTTTACAAACAATGTATCAAAAGGCTTATAACCAATTTTTTTTTTTAAATGTCAGATGTTCAATGTAACTAAACTTTTTTTCTCTTAAGTAAGGTAGAATTACCAAAATTGTTTCTATTTGCTTAATACCAGAATGATGAGAAAGACAAGTCAAGTTATTGTATAACAATGGTTTGTTCTGTAGACTATCGAAAAGAATATAGCTTTAAGGGGCTAATAATTTTGTCCCTAAAATGGTTTTAAAAAATTAAAAACTGCTTTTATTCTCGGAATAAAACAAATAAGACTTTCTACTGAAGACAAAATATTATCAGACATACTGTGAAAATTTCCCTGCTCTGTTAAGCATCATTTGGAAAATATTTTAAAAAGAAACAAAAATTCAAGGAGGGGCTAATAATTCTGACTTCAACTGTACATTAAGATTACTATGCCTCTGAAAAAGCTCAGATGATGGTGTGAAGGATCTGAAAGTTTCTGATTGGCAAGTTAATTGGAGGCACACATGTAGATTCATATTTAAGGTAAACCTCAAACACACTGCTTCCTTGTGTGACAACATTAGAAAATCTAAAGAAATCAGCCAAGACATCAGGAAGAGAATTGTGGACCTCCACAAGTCTGGTGCTTCTTTGGGTACAATTTTCATATGCCTAAAGGTGCCACTTTCATCAGTTTAAACAATTATACAAAAGTATAAGAAACATGTCCAGCCGCCATACCGCTCAGGAAGGAGAAGAATTCTATGGTGCGATCTGTGTGCATCAACCCCAAAACAAAACCAAAAGTCCTTGGGCCAGTTGCATCAGCAGTGTTTAACTTAAAACATAGCCTAGTTGTGACTTAAAGAGACACTACGTTACAACTTACACATTACTAAATATTTTTGTGTTGCACCACTGAACTTAGTTTAAACATAACACTACATTCCAAGTAAACATTTATGGCAGCCTTCCCTATGTATAATGTTAGAGGAGATATGATAGCGAGATTAGTTTACACTGAAGAGCTCACGATAATAATAAAGAATGATCTCCCTCTACTCACAGCCTTATTTTCCTCCCAAATCTCGCATTTGTTTCGGTTTGTGAAAGAAGAGTTTAATTTTCTAGCCAGGAGTGTTTTGTTTTGTTAAATTAAAACAAGAATTTCTTTATGACTGAGTTCTTCTTTCTGCTCTTTTCTCTAGGATATGTATGATATACATAAATTAAGTTTAATGCTTTGATAACGTCATGTGTATTTCAAGTGCATTCACTGCTCGCGATGCAGGTTTGTGTGTTGTCTGTTATTAGTGACTGACTAAAATGTGATTTATAATAATTTTTTTCTATGACAGTTATATATAGATGCATTAGTTGCTGATTTTTAAAGCAGGTTAGCATATAAATACTTTTATTGGATATTACGTCATTCAATGCGATTATGTATAACTTTACGGAGCTTACAACCTACTAACGCTCTGGTTACTAAAGTAACCCTCGTTCCCCAAGGAGGGTAGCGGAAATGCTATTAGGGCATTTTTAATCCACGAATGGGGATTTCGTTCAGAAAGCCAATCGTCTGATAAAGTATGTAAACGGGCAAATGAAATGCCAAATGAATTGGCAGCGTCAGCTTGCGCACCTGATGGTTGTTGCAATTAGTTTTGCATAAAAGCACAGCAAAAGCAAGATGAGGCATCCTTTTTAAGCTGAAGAGACTGATACCTACAGCTAAGGAACAATCATTATTGCGATTCAATATAGCATTTCCATTCCAGTGAAGCCAGTGCTGAAGTGGTCTCATATGGAGTAATCTGAGCGGCATGGCTGCAGATGCCATATGCCCCAGGAGACTCTGAAATAATTTCAGTGGGACCACTATTTTGCTGTTGAACTCTTTCAGACAGTTCAGCATTAGCTGAGCGCTGTCATGGTGACCGAGTCCAGCTCCTGAGAAAAGAGATCCTCTGCATGGTGGCGAGTTTGCTCTTTTCTCGGTTGACCTGAAGCCCCAACAGGTGGAGGTGCCAGAGCACCTTGTCTCTGTGCATAATCAATTGCTCCCGAGAGTGGGCTAAAATCAGCCAGTCCTTGAGATAATCGAGTATGCGGATGCTCGCGAGCCTAAGGGGCGCTAAGGCAGAGAGAGAGAGAGAGCTGGAAGAGAAGGACTTTGTATTGTCAAGCTCGACCTTCGAACGCAAACCGCAGAAACTGACGGTGGCGTGGAAGTATGGAGACATGAAAATACCCGTCCTTCAGGTCTATCGCTGCAAACTAATCCTGAGGACGAATGCACTGGAGGATACGCTTCTGCGTGAGCATTCTGATTGGCAGCTTGTGCAGACAGCGGTTTAAAACATGCAGATCTAGGATTAGTCGTGACCCACCGCGCTTTTATGGCACGATGAAGTGCGGGCTGTAAAACCCGCTCCCCATCTGGGCTGGAGGGACAGGCTCGATTGCATCCTTCGCCAGGAGGACAGCAATCTCCTCTCGCAAGACAGGGGCGGACAGGGGGCTGACTCTGGTGAAATAGACATCCGTGAGCTTGGGGGGCCGTTGACAATCGCTGACGTACCAACAGTGGGGCAGCACGGAGTGGGTGTGCTGATCTGAGAAGCGTGAGGGTCCCGCGGAAGAGCTGGAGGCGAGAGATTCACTATCACCCAAGCTCTGGAGGGTGGGTCTTGAAGGGTGGGAGAAAGGAGATCGTCCTCCCAGCGCCTGTAAGCCACTGGCGAAATGCACAGAACCTGCTAGCTGGAAGGCATAACATCCCAGACTGCCAGAGTTCAGGCTGTCACATCTGGGGAAGTGGAAAAGTGCACTTTCATTGATGTTTGCGAAGCAGTGAAAAGTGCAGTTGGAAATGGGGTCCGGCCCTCCAGCGGGGAAAGAGTAAATTCCCTCTTGTCCTGTCTCAGGGATGCTTCGTGGTCCATTTACCGGACTTAACGGTGCCCTGGGCAGGGGTGGCTGCCTGCTTCTGAGGTGCTCAATGCGCCCGCTTTGCCGGAGGCGCAGGCGGGTGCCTTCAGCGGGGAGCAGCAGCTGTTGATGGCTTGGCAGGTGGAGCAGGCTTAAGGTCCCACCGAAGATGACATTATCCATCGCATCAGACTGCTCTCTCACCGCCTTGAATTCCTAGGTGAATTCACCGACGGTGTCGCCGAACAGGCCAGCCTGGGATATGGGGAGTCAAGAAAACAGACTTTGTCGACTTTGCGCAAATCAGCTAGGTTTAGCCAGAGTTGGCGCTCCTGGACCACTAATGTGGACAGCCTTGAACACTGGTTTCGAGGGAGGCAGACAACCTACAGGCTTTGGACGGGAGACGAGGTGGACCCCGCCAAGAAGAGGCGCCATGCGGACAAAGATTTACCGCAATGGTGAGCTCGACCTGAGGAATCGCCTCATACCCCCTGGCTGCTCCACCGTCAATAGTGGTGAGGGGCAAGGGACATGCAGCACGGGCAAAAAAAGTTGCCCTTTTGTCCTCTACGTAGCACCCATCTAGTTGGTCTGGCAGCGGAGCTGGGTGATAAACCATTTCCAACTCCACGGCAGAAGCAGCCCGGGAAAGCACGGATAACATGTCCGTTTTAGGATTCATTGACAACGCTCACTTGCCTGGAAGGGGCGACTGGGTCTGGATCCCCGTTGGACAATGAAAGCCCACCATCCGATGCAGCGGTGGAGGTCTGGTCCCCGGTGTCATCGAGCATAAGGGCTACCATTTGGTTAGATGGACCGCTTCCTCCACTCGAAGCTTGGATTGAGAGCTTGGAGGACCGGGAGGGCCGCGGGCCCGGATTATCAATTATCGGGCGACGGATCGGGCCCGAGTGCCCGCTGCAGTGCAGGTAACAGCTGGGATGATTCGCCCTTTTACATGGACGTGCTGCACGACCATGCTGCTCTTTTAGTGAAATTTGCAACTTTATACGCACAGCTCTGGAGGACCAGAGCCAAAGAATGACAGGCAAGGGAGAAGCTAGATTTAGCCAGAGTTGGCGCTCCTGGACCACTAATGTGGACAGCCTTGTAAACTCTGGTTTCGATGGAGGCAGACAACCTACAGGCTTTGGTTACACCAGAAGTCTCTGAAGCGAAAAGGATGCCTTAACTTGCTTTCGCTGTGCTTTTATGCTAAACTGATTGCAACAAGCATCAGGTGTGCAAGCTGACGCTGCCAATTCATTTGGCATTTCATTGGCCCATTTACATACTCTTTCAGACAATTGGCTTTCTGAACGAAATCCCCATATGTGGATTAAAAATGCTCTAATAGCATTGAAAATCCCCATCCGAAGGGGAACTATGGTTTGACTTAAAAACATATGGTGCAACCAAAGTGAGAACAAATTTAGTTATAAACTAGCTAGTAGTTACTAAGCCCCTAGTGTGGACTTTACAATTCAGTTTATGAAAGAACTTAAGATTATCTGGTGCAACCCTTACCTTGTGAAGAAGCTGGCTGAAGCTGGTAAGAGAGATTCATTATCCACAGTGAAACGAGTCCTGTACCGATATGTGCTGAAAGGCCACTTAGCAAGGAAGAAGCCATTACTCCAAAAGCACCATTAAAAAAGCCAGATTATAATTTGCAAAATCACACAGGGAAAAATACTTTATTTTTGGAGACATGTCCTGTGGTCTGATGAAACTGCAACTGAAATCATTGGCCAAAATGACTAGCGATACAATTTGGAGGAAAAAGGGGGAAGCTTACAAGCCTGGGAACACCATCCCAACTGTACTGTACTGGTGCACTTCACAGAATAGATGGCATCAAAAGGAAAGAACGTAATAGAAATATTCAAGCAACATCTCAGAACATCAGGCAGGAAATTAAAGCTTGGCCGCAAATGGGTCTTCCAAATGGACAATGACCCTAAGCATACTGCCAAATTAGTTCAAATGTAGCTTAAGGACAACAAAGTTGTTTTGGAGTGGCCATCACAAAGCCTGATCTCAACCCTGTAGATAATTTGTGGGTAGAGATGAAAAAGCATGTGCCAGCAAGGCAGCCTACAAATCTGACTCAGTTACACCAGTTCTGTCAGGAGCAATGGGCCAAAATTCCAGCAAACTATTGTGAAAGCTTATGGAAGGATACTCAAAATGTTTGATCCAAGTTTTACAGTTTAAAGGCAAAGCTACAAAATGCCAAGAAATGTATGTAAACTTTTGACTTTCTAGAAATTATTAAAATATTCTAACAACTATTAATAAGTCTTCTAGCATTTAGCAAATATCAATAATTTTGGCAATCTTAACTGACCTAAACGAGAAAAAGTTTACATTTAACATCAGACATCTAAAAAAAAAAAAAAAAAATGGTTATGTGCCTTTTTATAGTGTATGTAAACTTCTGGTTTCTACTGTATATATTCAGTTATTCTTTTTAATAATATTATTAGGCCTAGTTGTAGTACTGTAAGTAGTATTGTTAATAATTATAATTATTTGAATATTAATAATAATAATAATATTATAGAACATTTTTTGATCGGTTAACCGATTTTAGTCTCCGGTAGTCATTTATTTAGTTTATCATTTCTCACATACATTTGCTTTTATTATTACTTAGCCATTTGACTAACATAAATTATAAAGATAATTCTGTAACTGTTTGGGAGTTTTTTGAAAAACATAAATAAGAAGTAGTACAATCAGACCAAATGGTGGATGGACAAATGGATGGATGCCACTAGGTGTTTTAGAGTCGAAACCGAATGGCACTTGTTAAGCATCTCTCACAGCCACATTTCCATTTGTATCAAATAAAATATTTTTCCAGCTGATTCTTCTCTGTCAATAATCTGCCCTTTACTGTCTGATGAACTGTCTGATTGTCTGGCCTCTCTGCACTTTAACTTTCTGATCTCTGGCAGGACCATCACCAACAATCTGCCAAGCGTTCCTCTGCCCAGGGTTCCCAACCTGCCTCTTAACCTCCCTCAGATGCCCAGCTTCTCAGCCCCGTCCTGGATGGGGCCGCTGTGTGACAGCACGTGTGTATGAGCCAGCTGGGCACATCGCTCGCTGCACACTGCTCTTCACATATGCTTATTTTAGCAGCAACGTCTGTAGGACATTATAGGCCAGCCAGATATTAGCTCCAATCCTAATCAGACACACCTGAGCTAATCAAGCTCTTACTAGGCTTTCGAGAAACATCCTTGCAGGTGTGTTGAGCCAAGTTAGGGCTAAAATCTGCAGGACAACAGACCTCCAGAACAGAGTTTGAGAACCCGTTATAGGGGTAATATTAAAATTAATAATATAATTTTTTTTACGTTATTTAAATATTCATTAAGAAATAAGAAAAAAATAATCAATAAACATTTATTTAATGTATATAATAATAAGAATTAATATTGAATATTATTTTAATAATTAAAAACTTTTTTTTAACAATCTTTATTTAATGTTTTAATTTAAATATAAATTGAATGTAATAATTGGAATTATTATGAGTAAGTAGTAGTAGTGCTATTAATAGTAGAAGTGTTATTTAATTAAATCAATACAATTTTTTATATATTTTGAAAATGTGTTGCATGTATAAATGTATACGTGCATTGGCAGGATGCCTTAATGTCCCACCAGTAACGATATACAGCCAGATTGCACTGCTACGAGTGTGATATTGCATTTATAAAACAGTTTGACAGCATAATCCTGTATCTAAAATAGAAAAGTCTAAAAGCCCTTTTGTAAGAGGAACTACTTTCTTCCGCCATTTATTCACATCTGCAGCTGAACAGCTGAAACTGTTGCTATTCACACACAAGTATTTGAATGATTCTCTAGTGTAATGTCTAAAAGCCAGGCCCGGATTGGCTAATCGGGAGGACCGGGAGAATACCTGGTGGGCTGGTCCGTTTTTTTTGGCCGCGAGGGCTGGTGTCCCTAGCTTCTTGCACTCTCAGCAGTCGCACTTTTTTTCATTAATTAATTTATTTATTTGACCATAGCCTCACTCTTTTAATTCATTATTTTGCCGCAGCTCTGCTCTTTTTATTTATTTTCTTGCAGCCCCGTGAGCAAAATGCAGCCTGCAGGTTAAAGATGATGTTACTATCATTCAACCCTAAACAGCGGCACCTTTGTGAATATAAGAATTTAAATAATTAATATTAATGAATATTACACCTCCTCAGTGTGATTCACTACACTAATAAATCTGACATAACTTGATCAGTGGTTAAAAGAGTCTTGCAGATAACAGTGCAACGTTTAATTTTATTCCAAGCATAACAGTGCTATATGTGGTCCAGTGGTCAGCACGTTGCATTACGATGCCACTGATCTGTGTTCAAACCTCACCTGAGTAATTATTATTATTATTATTATTATTATTATTATAATTTTCATTTTTATTGTTAATACATATAATACTGTTAGGGTTGTTGAACATTTGAAGTTCTAAAGCAGCTGTTTTCTTGAAAAAGACATGATAGTGTCATTAGAAACTGAACTGGAAAGCACGTTATCTCAATATAATCAGTCGTGAACTGAGGTAGGCCGGTCAAGGCTTAAAACTCGAGGGCTGAAAAGGAGTCCCACACCAGCCCAGTCTTAAGCGATGACAAAACAGGTGATTTTGCTCACATTTTAAGATTATAAGGCTGAACGACATGAAATGCCATCAGTCTAGAGACATTTCCCAGTATTTCTTTGTTGCAATATCACAATAATACCCCCCCCACACCACCACCACCACCTTCCCCGCACTAGTTGCGCTTCCTCTGGGCACAGTTGCTTCGCGCAGGTAAACAGGAGCGTGCACGCTTTTTAACAGTCCCGCGCATCACATCACCTGTGCGCACGAGTGATCATCTCTTCGGGATTTACCTTCTTTTTTGCTGTTTTGCTCGCGTGAACAGTTATTTTTGTCGTTCGTGCTGCTTCTTGACTCTAAGACCACATTTGCATGAATATTGGGCCATGCTTATTGTCGAACCCTGCAGTTAAGGAAACTACAATTAAAAAATAATTTCCAACCAGCCAAAGTGGCTAGTGGAGGTGTCTGTCTAACCCACTAGAGCTGATATGCATTTGGCGGGTGTTAATGTAAAGCCCTGCATACAATCCTGATATGAAAATTCCATCTCACACTCAATACACTACAATTACTAAGATATAAATACAGCACTACAACAAACAAAAGAGAGAGATCATCTTAGAATATCATTTACCTGTTTTAAAATGATTTGATCAGCTGTAGTCAGAAATTACGCTGTTTTTATCTTCTAAGGCAGGGATGTCCAAACTCGGTCCTGGAGGGCCAGTGCCCTGCATAGTTGAGCTCCAACTTCCTTCAACACGCTTCCCTGGAAGTTTTTAGCACACCTAGGAAGAGCTTGATTAGCTGGTTCAGCTGTGTTTAATTGGGGTTGGAACTAAAATATTGTGTGGGCGGAGTAATACAGAAAGGTGAAGAGGCTGGACAAGTGCTGTTTTTTCAGAATATCACATGGCTATCAGCCAATCAGATTTAAGAACCAGACAGAACTGTTGTATAAATATATTAAATATACGGTAAAATATAATAATGATGTTGTTGTTGTTGTAAATAACATTTACTCAATCTGATATTTAATATTATAAATATTAAATCAAATTATACAATCAAATAAATAAAAACTACTTTTAAAATATGTCATATAAAATATAGATAATAATAATAATAAGAATAGTAATTATTATTATTTATTTGTATTATTATAATTATTATTATTATTATTAATAAATCAAATTGTTATATAACATTATTGTTATTATCATTATTTTTTATTAACATCATCTTTAAATGTCTGAGAATATTTGTTGGTTTGATGAAGCTGCTATATTAAGCATTTGTGTAATTTGTTAGTAATGAGTTTTAGCCGTGCATCCCCTATTTGCATGACAGTGTGAGGGTTATGATGTATTTTTTTATTCATTTTTCGCATTATTATGTGTCTTGTCGTCAGTTTGGGTTGGGAATCAACAAGCTGTTTTTGTTCAGTATCAAAACAAATCCTTGTTCTTCTGAAAAATCTTGTTCTTCCATAAATGTGGATCAGATACTGTACCTCTCTAAGTGTTTCTGTATAGTTGTCAAGGAAACGCTGAATTCATGGCACTTTGAGCTGTGCTGCCAAACTATATTTAACGTCATGCAACCGCTATTATAACTGACAGGAAATTATTTGATAATTATTTAATTAAATGACTTTTTTAAACTATGTCTAAATTCATATGACACGTACTTTGTGCTTTTGATTCTTCTGGGTTTGTTCTTATTTAATAGCCAGCTAAACCAAACAGGGTTTAGAATCAGTTTACTAGCATATTTGAAACCTGAATTAATGAATCACTTGGAGTTGATTAAACAAATTCTTTAACTACTTGTTAGGGTGGCATGGTGGCTCAGTGGTTATCACTGTTACCTCACAGCATAAAAGTTGCTGGTTCGAGCCCCAGCTGGGTCAGTTGTCACCTCTGTGTGGACTTTGCATGTTCTCCCAGGTTCTCTGATTTTTCCAGACAGTTTAAAGACATGCGCTATAGGTGAATTGGGTAAGCTTAATTGGCCATGGTGTATGTGTGTGAATGCAAGAGTGTATGGGTGTTCCCAGTGCTTGGTTGCAGCTGGAAGGTCATCCTCTGTGTAAAACATATGCTGAAAATGTTGGCGGTTCATTCCGCTGTGGTGACCCATGATAAATAAAGGGGCTTAGCCAAAAATGAATGAAGGAACTACTTGTTCATTTCAGTGATTCAAATAAGTCACTTGTCTTTGACTCACTTGAATCTCAACTTTAGAAATCCTTAGAAATCAGCTCATGCTTAGCCTTAATTAATTTGAATCAGTCTATTGGCTCATACTGAATAATTTGCAATTATTAAATGAATGTGATATAATGACCACTTTTTCTACATTATTGTGACTGAAATTACAAAAATAAACTTCTTATGGGCTCTTATTTTCTTTTTATTAAATTTATTTAAAGCATCATGTTCAGCTTTTACCAAGTGGGTCATTGAATCTTAAATCAGTCTACCAATTAATAAATCAGGATGATTTGATTGTTGACTAAATTACATAATAGAAGTGCCATTTTTTTCTCTTCTTAATTACTTTATTTTTACTTGTATCAACATTTATAGTCCTGGAAAATGGTAAATATGAATCATAAAATTGGCTCATTTTTAGTCTTAACTAAGTGAGTAATCAATTTCAATCAATCTACTGATTCACTTTATTTTGTTTACTGAATCATTTGCAGTTGATTGACGGATCATGTGATACAATGACCACTTTTTCGACGTTATTTTCAAAGATTACTACTTTTCTGGTGTATTAACTGCTTTAAAATGCTGCTTAAATGAAACAGTTAATATATAAACAATTATAGACTGCTTTCTTTTTAATAAATGTATTAAAAAGTCATGTTTAGTGTTAACCAGTAGGGTTACCTGATCTCAAATCAGTCTACCAATTTACTGTATATAAGTCCAAATTGCAGTTCAGTGAATCACATGATAAAAATTACAGCTTTTCTATATAAATATGACTGAATTATAATTTTATTTATTAGTCCTTAAATATGGATTCTTATGTTTCTTTCTTGAAAACTAACAGTGTTTTTTTTTTTTTATTAGAGTATTATACTGTATATTGAAATACAAAATAATTGCTATTTTTAGAATTAAAGTCATGAATTGGCTTATGATTCCCATTCCTTTTTTTGCATGACTTGATGATGTTGCTTTGTTTATTTTAGTGTATTTTGTTGCTTACTGTTAGATGTTTCAGTATTCATTGACTTCTTCACATAATTTAACACAATTATCTGATTTTACAGCGGACAAGGAATTAATTTGCCAGATATTTTGTGAGTATCAAATATATTGCTTGTCTTCGGTGTCTGTTTTGCATCTATAGCTTTGTTTTTAGTACGAATGGGGGGTCTCCATTAACATTCATTTGTCATCCTACAGTGGAGTGTCTGGGTATCATGGCTTCAATCTGTGGAGCGTGAGAGTGTTTAAAACCCGCTGTGAGCATGTGATGATAAACAGCGACACTATTTTCTCTGTGCCTTCAGGGGTTATCTGGCTAAAACTGTAACATAGTGACCATATGCAGCATTTTAAACACCCGATTCAGATTTACCCTGAAACAATTGACCACTCTTGAAATGAGAGGTAAACAGCATCAACTTCTGATAGCTATGGATGGCTCAAATAACATCAGAAAGATAAACTGCGTACATATCCGTAAAAAGCAGTGTTTCTCAACCACGCTCCTGGACGACCGCCAACACTGCATGTTTTTGATGTCTCTTTTGCCCGTCGCACTCATTACAGGTCTTTCAGTCTCTGCTAATAAGCTGATCATATGAATCAGGTGTGTTTGCTTAAGAAGACGTGTACAGAGCTGGTGGTCCTCCAGAAATGGTTGAGAAATACTGGCCTAAGGAATACGAATTGCAAAACCACACAAAAACCCAGTTTTCATGTCTGAAATGGTATCTTTGGTGGGTGGATTTTTGTTAGTTTTTATTAGAATGTATTAATAAATAGTAATATCTGATAGTAGTATTAATCTATATTAGTATTGGTGTTAACTAACTAGTATTATTATGGTCAACATTCTTATTTCATTGTTTGATGGTGAAGCAATTAAAATGAATCTTAACTAAAATCATTGCAATCTTAACAAAATCCTGTATTATGCATTACAAATAATAATACTTTGCCTCATTAAGCTTATTTGTTATAATCTTTTAAGCATTTTAAGTGAGAATTATGTCAGACCAATGTTCCTAAGTAAGATTTGTTGTAGTTTTATATTTTTTAGTTTTAGTTTTGACCACCTGTAATATTGTTATGATTGCCGGCAGTGTGTTCTCCATTGAAAACCACTACCTACTAAACTACATATCCCAGAAGTATTTGCAGCAATCACTCCTGTCACAGTTGACAGTCATTTGGACACACACACACAGCTGATTATGATGATTATCAATTACACGAGTTATTTAAACCCCTCTGTTTCACACTCATGTTGCTGAGTATTGATTAGCTGTTGCAGTCATTCAAAGTGTTTTCCTTGTTTCTTGTTTTTCGTGTTTTTAACTTTGGACTGTTCATCATTTTTCTGAATATTTGCCACCTGCCCTGAACCTTTTGCCTGTCTTTGGATTACGTTTTTGGATAATCTTCTACATGGTTTATACTGATTTTTGACCCCTGCCTGCCTGACTTCTAAATCCTTTTTTCGCAACAATTATAAAGTTTCAATTATAAATTACTAAAATATTAGCATGAATAATAATAGTGGGAGTTTAGTTATAGTAGTAGCATTTTTACTAATTAATCAATATTTAATTGCTTTGATAATTAAAATGTAACGTCACACTTTGTTTAAAGGTAAAATTCTTGCTTTTAAGAAACCATTAACTAAGGCTTTTAGCTCAATAAACCCCTAATTTGCTGATTGTTAATAGTTATTAAGGTAGTACTTGGGTTTAGGTTTTGGCAGGATTAGGCATGTAAAATTAGATAATGCAGGTTATGTACTTATAAACAGTCAATATCTTAATAATAGGCACCAAGTGATAATAAGCCACTAGTTATTAGTGATAATCATTTCCAATACTAAAGTGTTACCAAATAATTATTCATATGGCCATAAAGGGATGGACATGATCAGCAACAATACTCGGGTAGGCTGTGGCATTGCTCAATTGGTACTAATAGGCCCAGAGTGTGCCAAAAAATATCCCCCACACCATTACACCACCAGCCTGAATGGTTGATACTATTCTGACCTTACCATCCAAATGTTGCTGCAGAAATTGTATTTCCAGTCTTCTGTTGTCCAATTTTCTGAGTCTGTAAGAATTGTAGCCTTAGTTTCCATTTCTTAGCTGACAGGAGTGGCAACCGGTGTGGTCTTTTGCTGCTGTAGCCCATCTGCCTCAAGGTTCGACTTGTTATATTGACATGTTCAGAGATGCTCAGCTGCATACCTCGGTGGTAACAAGTGGTTATTTGAGTTACTGTTGCCTTTCTATCGGTTTGAACCAGTCTGGCCATTCTCCTCTGACCTCACTGGATATTTTCTCTTTTTTGGACCATTCTCTGTAAACTCTAGAGATGGTTGTGTGTGAAAATCCCAGTAGACAAGAAGTTTCTGAAATACTCAGACCAGCCCGTCTGTCACCAACAGCCATACCACATTCAAAGACACTAAAATCACCGTTTTTTCTCATTCTGATGCTCAGTTTGATGATCATCAGAGTGATCATGAGATCATCATGGCAAAGTTGCTGCCATGTGATTGGCTGATTTGAATTTTGCATTAACAAGCAGTTACATAGGTGTTCCTAATAAAGTGGCCAGTGCGTGTGTATGTATTGCCCCCTAAAGCTAGAAAAAAGAAAATTAGGTCAGACCAAAGTTTCTAAGTAAGGCTTATAAGTACTATCATTATTGACAATATTTAAAAACAATTTAAGCTAATTTAATACACATAAAAAACAACCTTGTTGTCACTCTGCTGTGCATTTGAGATAATCAGGGAAACATGTATGTATGTATGTATGTATATATATATATATATATGTATGTATATATATATATATATATTCTAGATGATTTATCCTGGATCAGCTCTCTCAATTATCTCAACAGGATCTAAACAGTTACATGAGAACCATTGCTTCCCTTTGTAAGAAGAACATTTCAATTATCCGAAGAACCGTTAAACTTTTAGTGTAATGGAAAGCTTCCACGGATGTTAAAAGTCCTCTGTGAAAGATGCCAATAAAGAACCTGTATTTTTCAGAGCGTCTACACAACAGAGCCTGAACAACATTGGAAAGTTAAATTACATCCATCTCAATTAGCCTAAAGAGTGTGAACTGCAAAAGCACACCAGCTTTCGGGCCTGAAACAGTGTGTGTGTGGTGGGTGTAGTCCTGTGGGTGTCTGTCAGAGGGGACTCTGGTTAGCTGCTTGTTAGATTCGGCAAGAACTTTGTGTTCTCCCTGAGGGGGAGTTTGTTCGTCAGACGAGAAACTGGTCCATTTGTTCACCCTGCCTCTCTTTCCTCTGCTCAAGCAGGCTCGAGGCGGAGGCGCAGACCCCCGAGGGGGCCCTTACGGACCATACCGCCACTAATTAATCGAGTGGGAGCTTGTGCTCGCCCCTTTTAATTGCACAGCGGACTTTGCCAAGCAATTTATTTTCCCGGACCGCCACTTGTGAAGGTAACAGTCTTTTAACAGCGAGAAGAACGAGTGGCTTTTTTTTTTTTGCTTGTTGTTGTTGCGCCGCACATTCATGAGGCCTAAACTGTGCGTTGCCGTGTCGACTGCGGTTGATGTCACTCCATCTGTCTGTCTTGGAGATCTCTTGAGCCCCTTCAAACCCACTGGAGTCCACACACAACAGCAGGAGAAGCTGCTCTGTGTCTGAGGCATTTCAGTCTGCTGGATGCAGAAGAAACTGATATTACAGTATTTTTGTGCTGATTACTGATTAGTCCTTTGACTACCTATTTTTTAAACTTGGGACAACTTAACTGTTTATTGAGGATGTCTTTTTTTAAATTCAAACTATTTGCATTTTACATGTAAAAAGTGCTGTAGTGGTGACGCGGTGCTGCAGTGGGTAGCGCTCTCGCCTCACAGCAAGAAGTTTGCTGGTTTGAGCCTCCGCATGTTCTCCCCGTGTTCGTGTGGGTTTACTCTGGGTGCTCCGATTTCCCCCACAAGTCCAAAGACATGCAGTACAGGTGAATTGGGTAGGCTAAATCATAAAACATATACTGGATAAGTTGGCCGTTCATTCCGCTATGGCAACCCCAGATTAATAAAGGGACTAAGCCGAAAAGAAAATGAATGAATGAAAGTGCTGTAATACGGAGTGGGATTATTTCAATATTGGGGAGATATTGAGGCTTAGTTTGTCCGCAACGTGCTCTGTGAATGTTTTTTGATGACAAATCTTATTTTGACACATATTTTGGGAATAAAATATTGCACTCTGGGCAAATTTACCTCACTTTAGTTATGTTCGTGACAACAACGTTCGTTCGTTATAACAACATTTTTTTTTGATTACGAAGCCAGGACACCATATAATCATGCGTTGTTGATTGTTGGTGGTTTTCCCTGTTGAGAAAAGTTTTTTTTTTTTTTTCTCTTAATGTGCATTATTCCCAACAGAAAACCAACAACAGTCAAGAATGTATGGTGGCATGACTTTGCAATCAAAAAATGTTGTTACAATAGAAGTCAATGGGGCAAAATCAGCCACTAACATAACAAAAGGGGAGTCAATTTGAACAATACACAAGGTTTAAGGTGTGTTTACATCATATGGTGTTACTGTTATCACCTGTGTTATATACTGCATATAAAAAATGTGGATAATAATAACAACATATAAAATGTAAAATTAAAGCATAATGTTACAATATAATATTATTATTAATAATAGAATTAGTATAGTATAATGTTACAATTCATGTTTTAAAAATGTTTAATGATATAACAATATATGATTTAAATAAGATTGAGTTATAAGTATAACTTAAAAGTAAAAGTAAAATTATATACATTATAACCTTCATAATAACTTATAACAACTGAACATTCAAACTCAAAAAAATAAATAAATAAAAAAAATGTTCAGACCCTAAAAAATGTGAAGTATGAAAACACCTTAAACTGACATGTTACTGGGGTAATTACAAGACTTTTGCACTGTTTTGAAAATAAAAATTATTTTGTAATATTAAAAATATAAAGATGATATTGTAATCAATACAGTTACCATAAATAGTTCTTCGCCCAATAAATGATAATTAATTCCAGGCTAAATACTCTATATTCGTTATTCCTTTTCTGGCTTCCATCATATACAGTAACCTTGTAGTTCCAACATCATAGCTTTATTAACGTATTACAAGTGATATGGCCAACAATACAATATATTATTAGTTTAAGTCTTTTTAAATAACTGAAAGTGGCACAAAACCATCGTCATATATGTTTTAAGCTCAATACACATTAAGTACTGGTTCGCATAGCGATGTTACACTAGTCTAAATCAACACTCTTGTCTTTAAAGTTTAGATTTGTACTGTATTTTTGAGTCCAAAGCTCTTAAGAAAAACCTGTATGAGTGTTTATTTAATTTTTATTCATTAATATCTATAACAATTTCTAATTCAAGATACTTATTAATGAGTTTTATTAAATGGTCCTGGCCATAAAAGCTATTTTGGATTTGACCACTGGTATATATATGTTTTTGTTTGATTTAGTTATAAATTATAATAACATGCTATCATGTATTGAGATATTAAGATTAAAAACAATAATAATCAAAAATGATTCATTAGTATAATAAAGATATGCACTCATTTGACCCAGTTTTAAAGTTTTAGATTTGTAATGTAGTGTATTTTGCAGTTTAAAAAAATTGTCTATTATGAGCTAAGCATGTGAATGTTTCTGTCTTCTCCAGTAATGGTTCGGCCACATCAGAAGATCTGTTTTGGAAGCTGGATGCTCTTCAGATGTTCGTCATGGACCTGCATTGGCCAGAGCCAGAGTTTGCCAAACATCTGGAGCAGAGGCTTAAACTGATGGCTAGCGACATGATGGAGGCCTGTGTCAAAAGGTTTGACTCTTTAAAGGATCAGTTCACTTGCAGTCATCCAAAATGTTCATTTCACTCTTTTTTCAGTCGAAAAATAGTTTTTGGAAGAAAAAAATCATGATTTTTCTCTATACAGTGGACTTATATATTGCATAACAGTCTGAATTTCCAAACTACAGTTTTAGTGCAGTGTAACATAATGCCAGGTGAAGAATGAGAGTCTAAAGTTACCAACAGGAAGAGAGCCCACTGCGTTATAATCTGAAGACCACGCCCACTGGGGGAAAACAATCCAAACCGCTCCATTGACTTTGTATTGCAAGAGGGTGCCTCATTGTCATTTCTGACAAATAAAAAAGAAATTAAAAACAATGTCTAAATGTTGCATGTTGAACAATACAGACAGAATGGAAAACTATCTGCTTGTTAAGTGTGACGTCACGCGAACAGGCTTCAGGGTCTAAGCGCTCTATCAAACTGTATGTGGAGACTCAACAAATGGTAATAATAAATGTTTATAAAGCGATGTAATACTTTCGAAAATCACAGTCGCAATATATATATATATATGCCTTAAAATCCAATGGCCAGAAAGTGATTTTTTTTTATAAATTGTTAAAAATATTGATGTCTGGCATGCAGAAAGTCCAGAGACTGTTGTGTACACCATGATTTTATATAAAATTCACTTTAATGTGTGATATATGACCAATAATTGGTCATAAAGAAAATTTTTCCTAAAGACAAAGCAGATTTACGTTACGTTGGCTTTGTATTGCATGAGAGTGCCTCTTTTTTATCTTTTGACACATAAAAATGAATAAAATATTGTCTAAAAGTTGCTATGCAACAAAATGTTTAGTAGAGAACCGAAAAAATCTAGAAACAAGATTTTAAATTTAAGATTTTAAAAAGAATGTTTAAGGACACAAATGCAGAGCGCAATGACTTGCATTAGAGAATTAATAGTTATTTCTGTCTCCTTGAAGGCTGGCCTTACCAATTCGTAAAAACTTATTTCTGGATTTTATTTATGTATTGTTGTCTAATAGCTTTTAGGCATTATGATAAATGTTCCTGTTTATGTTTCCTCCAACCCAGGCTTATTCTGAAAATGTACCGCTATATACATTTCTGGAGAGTGTTAAATAGACGCTATTTTTTATTTTTTTTGGCAGTTTTTGTTTTTGCGAATACACCAAAGGCTGCTCTGTATACTTTTTCAGATCTCAAATTTCTCTCGCGAGTGCCATTCTTGCCTGCTGTTCTCATGTAAATCCACCAGAAGCCACTGTTGACTGATTGATTGACTGACCTATCGACTGACCCACCCTCCTCCTTCACTAAACCCAACCAATAGTGTTTTCCAAAACAATCCAGAAAAATAAAAGACTTCACCTTTTTTACCAAGTTTTCAGATTCTACCACATTCTCACTCTGTTATTTACTTGTTTATTTTATTTTTTGGCTTCTGTTTTTGTCTTAACCGATTTCTGCAACCATTCTTCACTGTGCTTGAACCCCGTTGTCGTGGTCAGCTCCTCTCTGCTAACTGGACAAACTGGTAACAGCGAGAAAGCCATTCACGTGGAGGTAAGCAGTAGGCTGTTAAGCACTAAAAATCAATGACGTCATACCGCCCCGTATCATTCGTTTTAAAGATGAAATGCAGTCATACGTACTTCTGGCTACATAATTAGTGATCTCCAGAAATGTAACTAGGGCTACATTTTTAGAATCAGTCTGTATTGGTTTTCTCCCAGTGGGCAAACCTTACTTTTCTAATGTTTTAGCGCTCTAACTTTGTGTCCTTAAACATTTGTTTTACAGGGTCTACAGGTTATGAAAACTTGGTTCTGGATTTTTAACTTGTCAACTTAATTTTTTTTATCGGTCAGAAATAACAAGGAACTTTCCACAATACAAATTCAATGGAGCAAGTTGTATTGTCCCGGCATGGGATGGGGCGTGGTCTAAATGTGTTCTGTCTCTATCATTTGCTAGATTTTAGACGCTTATTTCTCATTTGTTATCATGTAAAGCCTCTTTTTAAGCTGCATTGAAACATCTGCTACATAGGGAAAATATCCTCCATGTTTTCTTTCAAATCTTAAAGGGATAGTTCAACCTTTTGTGGTTTTAAACCTTTAAGCCCCAGTCAGATCAAATGATTTTTATTGTCAGTTATGAAAGTCACTATGTCAGATGCAATTTGTTTTCTTGATAAAATATTGACTTGTCGTGGATAACAAATATGCCAGACTACACGTTCCCTCACAATCAGTCATCCTGTGATGTTTACTACATGCGTTATTTTACAAAGCAGTCACAAGTGTTGCTATAACTATATTTATTATCTCAATTTCATTTTTTTATCTTATTTCAATCTCAATAAACAATGATGCCTGCTAAAAACTAAAACTATATTATTTAAGGGCATTCCTTACGACATGGATAGGATCGAACTTGTGATTTCTTTTTATTATTAAGATATTTTCTTTGAAATCTAAATGTATATTTTTCTGCCAGGGTTGCTTAATAAACACTCCCTTGCCTGAATTTGCCGCGAGTGAGATGGAGAAAATGTAAGCACATCAGCAGCAGCAAGGAAAATTCAGATGCTCAAAACAGAATCTTTAAAATAATGACATATTAAATAAATTGAAAATATATAACTGAGGTTTGTGATACAAAAATCACAGTGAAGCATTCATTAAATCCTTATTTTCTACAGAGCGAATCAAATCATCCACCTATATAGTTGAGTAATGGATGGACACAAATACAAATATAATTCATATATTTTTCTTGGGGAAAAAAAATAATTTTTTGAAAGGAATTTTGTTTGGTATAATTTTTATCTTAATGCTAATGTATATTTTTATTTTTTATTTTTATTATATTTGGTCAGTTATCTAAAAACAAGAATAACAAATAACATTTGAGGTGAAGCACATCAAAACAAGTCCGCTATATGTGCTAAAACACAAATTGCGACTGAGATTGTGTTTGTTTGTTAAATAACTTAATAATCTAGCCTAAATAAAATTAAAGTAAAATATTCACAGTTTCAGAGAAAGCCATTTATTAAACTGTTTTCACTAATGACAAATTTGAATAAGCAGGAAATGCTATTAAAATGTATTTAGTTCTGAACGTTTCCAGATTACCCCAGAAGAACAAACTCTGTTGCAAGGATGAGAGAACTCGTTGTGAGAATGGAGATGTTTTTATATTTGTGCCAGTCTGTCAAATAAATTGCTTAAAACACCTTAATATTTTTGAATTTTTTTTTTAAGTTTGCATAACTAATAATTATTATTATTTGTTGATTACCTGATCCGCGTGTTAGCGGCAGTATTCTCTGAGATAACTGAGCAATTACGTGCTGCTATTGCAGTGTCACCCACATGATGGTACACGTGAAAATCGAGAAAAAAATTAAACATTTTAGATTTTCTCTAATGGTGTCGTGAGGCGTTACATGCTTGGTATCAGTTGCCGTGAACTATGCTGCAAAAAACTTTTGAATCTTGTGTCACGACGCCCATTTGTCATTTAGGAATTCCCACAACATCCTACGTCAAGGAAATCATGCCAAAATCAAAATGTCAAACTCATGTGATCTGACTGGGGCTTTATGAAGTCGCAAAAGAAGATATTTTGAAAAATGCTGGTTGATGGCACCCATTGACTTCCACATTAAGGAAAAAATTACTATGAAAGTCAATGACCATCTTCTTAAAAGTATTTTCTTTTATGTTCAACGGAAGAAAGAAACCCAAATAGGGTTTGAACAAGTGTGTAAATGACGACTATTCCTTTAAATTAAATGAAAGAATGAAATGAACTTTTTGAATGATGAGGAGAAAAGTCAATTATCAGTACATTTTCAATCTGAAAGTAAACTAATCCACTAAGGACTCCATTCAAGGACAGGTCTTCATGTAACTGATGTCTCTGCTATCTCTGTTATTTAGGACCAAAGCTGCTTTTGACTCAAAAATGCAGAAGTCTTGCAAGTCCACAGATTTCCGCGTCGCCTTGTCTGTGTGCACAATGTTCAATGTTCTCATGGATGCCAAGAAGCAGTGCTCCAAGCTTTGTGTTCTTGACCAAGGTCAGGAGGTACGTCACAATCCTTTCCAGCCAGACACATCCATATCATACAGTACATCTCTTAAAGCATCTTCTCACTGTTCAGCTGACAGCAAGGAGGTGACAGCTAGATTAACAACATTGAATTACAGCACAAGATCTCTTTTTATGCTTCAAACTTGCTTTTGAGTTTAACTGTCACCAGTGTTATTGGTTGGTGTGAAGTGTTTCATGTCTTTGGCCGATATTGTTACAGCTTTATATTCTGCCTGGAGATAAGTCTTGACACAAAGTCTTATGCCGCAGAGAATGTGATCAAGCTGAAGCCAAACTTCCACAGAGCTCTCGACACCTAGAACTGCCATTTTCATTTCAAACAAGCCAAGTCATTAGCGGCTTCAGTAACTCTTTAGTTTAGGTCACAATTCATGGAACTAACACTACTAGTTTAATATACAACTAGTTAGCTCTTTATTAATAGTTAGTAAGGTAGAATTTGGGTTTTGGATTAGGGATGCAGAATTAGATCAAATGTATAACTACTAATGAACAGTTAATATCTTAATAATAGTCAGGCAATAAGCCAGTAGTTAATAGGATGAATTGTGACCTGAACCTGAAGTGTTACTGTAGCTTCTAATTTGCATGACATTAATAACTCTGTAGTTTGACGGGCACTTTTTTTTTAATCTCTGTGTGAATATTGAGAACATTTTACTTAGCAGATCATTAAAGATGTAGTCACTGCAACAAAAAAATACATTAATGGGAGAAAATAATACGACTAAGCTGTTCAGACACAACCTGGAGTGAACATACAGTATTTCTGTCACAACATTGTGTAATCTTCTCTATGGAGAACAGCAGATCTTCTGATTCTTAAGGGGACCTATTATGCAAAAATCACTTTTAAAACAGGTTTAAGCACAGTTGTGTGGTAAGAGTTTGTGAATTTAGCCAGCCTCTAATAGTTTAAATCAATTAATTCATTTTTTATAATCACACTTCATAAAAACTGTTTGTGTTTGCAGAAACACTTTGATATTCTCCCTTTAATTGACATTAGCCCCTTTCATGCAATGATATCGGTAAATATCCGGCAAATTTTTGGAACGATTCACACAGATGAGAACGTTACGGAATTTTTCCTGAAAAGAGCATACACACATCCATTCCAAAATACCGGTAAATTTTGACTTCATAAACCAGAAATGAGCTCTAAAGCTGCGCTTGTATTTGTAAACATTTGACTACATTACAAACTCTGTGGATGGATAAGTATTGTGAACAACTTCGATGAAAACATATAGAGGAACTCTTTCGTATGTCGAGATGTATGTGATATGTGTGCGTGCTAGTGCTCACCAGCTCCTTCATGGGCACACGCGACACACCAAACTGAAGGAAGCAGAGCTTGAAGGTAAACAAACAACGGCTTATCAAAAGCATCTTATCGATAATTATTTACACAGTTGGCATTAAGAAGAAACGTTATCTGACTAACATCGAGCAGCTAAATGTGTCAGGCTTTTATTTTCATAAACCGCGCGGACATGAATGCGTCTGACTGTTCTGATTGGCTAAAGTAGACGTCTCACTTCAGCACGTTTTAGACGTGTACGCGCTCTTTCCTGCAATCTTCCTTCTGCGTTCACACAGCGCAGCATTTCGGCAAATTACCAGTAATGTTACAACTTCTCTTTCCGGAAATTGCCAGAACTAGTTTATCGGTATTTTCAAAAAAGGACCTGTTGTCTGTATGTGTGAAAGGGGCTATAGTCCCTTTTTTATTGACAAAGTCTTGCCCATTTGCGATGTTTTCTCTTCCTCATTAGCATAGACAGTCTCAGTGAGTAGCAGCCATCTGCCATTAGAGTTTCCACATTGTATCTGCCAAAGATAATGTCAGTAACTAAGAGGTATAATAAATGTTGAGTGTTAGGATGCACAAATGAACACCATATTCTCCACTACCTATTGAGCCACTTTTTTTGTAGTTAACATTTTCCGATTTTCGCAAAAATAACGTTATAGTCCTGTTTTGAATCTACCAATAATGCATAAGCATTTGTAGCTCCGTCTTTTTTGAAAAGAGAGCATTTTTTATAAACTGTTAGTTACCGACAATGTTGGACAATAGCGTTGCTACAAGTAGTGATGCTACTAGCTTAACTACATTTCTCAATAGTATGGTGGTACTGTCGCTACTTTCTAAATCAAATAGTTTTTCAGTAGCGAAGCTATTATTTTAATCAAGTAGAGCAGTAGCGTCCACACAAGCTACATTTACCGATCACGGATCATTAAGTGATGCCGCCACCATTCACAGAGCTGTGAAGTTGGTATCTGGCAAATGCAAGTATATCCATATGATAGTGAGTGGCCAATTCTTCTTCTTCGTGTTTTACGGTGGTTGAAAACTTTTTGGTGAGCTACTGCCACCTCTCACTCTGATCATTGACGTCGCCAATCAATCATTGGGCTGGCAGGAGAAACTTGCTTGATGGAAAGATGACTGTAGAGGAATTATTTAATTAAGCTGGACCATATCTCGGAGTACATGTCCCAAAGTTAATTCTGATGCTGTGCTCTTGTTAGAGTTTAATTGATTTTAAATTTGCCCAAGTGCACATACCTGAAAAATAATAGTAATTTAATGTAAGTCTAATATTTAAAACATTTAAATTACTATAGTATTTTTTGAACAATATAGAGAAGTAATTTAATTAATTTGTTGTGGTACTGGGGCTGCACGATTTTTTGAAAAAAGATGACGATCTCGATTTGACCCTACACTCGATCTTAATTCAGCTTTTCTACGATTCAGCCAATTATATTTTCAAGGTCAGGAGAGAACCTATGTCACATACTGTATTTATAAGGTATATTTCATCCAGAAATGTAATTTCTGTCTTCAAATAATGATGTATTCGTGGCCGCGAAATCACACGTGAGCTGACCACGAGCTGTTTGACTACCGAGAATGCGTCTGTGCACGCATGACGCCTACTTTAATGAACACAAACTACATAGACTTTGAATAACAGGTAATGAAAATGTGAATAACGTTCAGTTTGTTGCACAGAGCGATCGTTTGAGGGCCCTGTGGAAGGTTTGATTTGCATGTATCTATTTTTTTCTCACAGTGACGGCGACCATGAGCCGCACTGTGCTCACATCGTTTAAATGATCGTATGGCATTTTAGAGTTATGATTACGACAAGCATTTAAAATGTTTTTTTCTTTCACTGCAAACACAAAATGTTGTGCATGAAAATAAATGTTTACTGTGTCAGTATAACAACCCTAGCCTATATATAATGTTGAATATAATGCAAGAAGGAATCTGATAATGACAAAATTCTAATTTTACCAGTGAAAACAAATGGTCAATTAATGCTGTCAATAACAGATGACAAGCACATGTCTCAAGCATAATAATTCAACTTTATAATTATAAATAGCTGTATTCTGATGTCATCATTTTACTGTGAATTAACAACCAGGACATATTGAAAGTCTGTTCAAGTCCAGCATAATGACAATACAAAATTGAGTATTTTAAGCAACTGTAGACCTACACATAGGCCTAATATTATTATTGTTGTTTTACCATATGTTTGTGAATGAACAATAATAATAGGCTAATCATATTAACCTTTATTTTACATTTACAGAATTGTGAAAAAATCGTGATCTTGATTTTGAGCAAAAAAAAAATTGTGATTCACATTTTTGCTAGAATCGTGCAGCCCTATGTGGTACTTTTACAGTTGCAATACATATATATTTTTACTGTTGTAAAAGCTAAAGTATACTATAATAATTACTATTAGTTCACAACAGTTACTAATAATACTATATTATATAGAATAAGTAATTGACAGAGTTGTAAATCTGTTCCACAGTATGTACAGTTGAAGTCTATTATTATTAGCCCCCTTTTTAAATTTAATTAACTTTTTAAAATATTTTCCAAATATTATATAACAGAGCAAGGAAATGTTCACAGTATGTCTGATAATATTTTTTCTTCTGGAATAAGTCTTATTTACTTTACTTCAGCTAGAATAAAAGCAGTTTTAAATTTTTAAAAATAATTTATTAAAAATTATTAGTGCCTTTAAGTTGTATTTTTTTTCCGATAGTCAACAGAACAAACCATCGTAATACAATAACTTATATACACTTCCCTATATATTTCCCTTTACTATACATTACTGTAGTATTTTAAATGTGTAACACAGGATTTATTGAAATATTTTGCTTTTGCTGTCTAGCAAAATCTCTTTGGAACAGCATATTATTTGCAGTTAATAATTGAATTTAACAATTATGCCACATATGTTTCGTTAGCAGTTTTATTATTTAGTAAGACAGAACTAACTTAGATTGAAGTTGCTTTGATTTAAAAATAGAAAAAAAGGCTTCATATGTAGCTAAGCTACTTTTGCCATGTAGTTTTTAGCTTAGCTTGCTACATTTTCCAAGGGGTGGCTTTTAGTGTAATTAAGCTACATTTTAAGTAGAGTAACTGATAGCTTAGCTCACTAGACTTTTACAAGTAGCTTGCCCAACACTGATTACTGAAAAGTCTGTGAAAGCTCATATTTCTCATTCAAGCATAATTCATCCAAAATATGACAAGGCCTGTCAATAGTATGTCAATAATAATCAATATATAGATGTATCACACAACACATGGACATGTTCTCTGTCATTTTTGGTGATGCAATATACTGTATATTGCCCATACATAAAAAAACAGTACTAGCAACATTTCAGCTGATTGCAGAACCTCTCTATCTCTATTTGAGTTGTCAGTGTGACTATAGTTAAACACTATAGTATATACTATAAATTATTACAGTATATTTTCATGTGGGTGTCTGACTAAAGAAAATAGATCTGGTAGCAGACACTAAAGCCTCTGTTACTTTTTACCATGCACTTTTTTGTTAACATGTATTATTAATTATTTAGGATATGCGTTTTCACATTCTGATTCCACTGCCTGATTATTACATTGTTAAATTAAAATGTAATGTGTTCTTTGGAAGAGTATACTTGTGTTGTGATGATATTATATTGTCACTCTGGCATTATATAATGAGTGGCATAAAATGAACTGAAATAATTGTGGTAATATAATATGGATCTCAATACAATTGTCCCTCTCTATAACTTTAATTTAATTGACATGTGAGTGTGCACATCCGGTGTATATTACTTCCAACTGTCATGTGTGCAGCAAATCCGATGTGCGACCCACTTTAGGATGGGGACTGCTTTAGTTTTGTTGATCAGTGACTGCAGGAAAAAGAACATTATGGTGGAAGCCAACATTATTCGCAAATATAATGCAATAAATGTTTGACGAGATAAAAAATCTGACCACAGATTTTGATCTTTGATTTCTTTTTACTCTTTTTTTTTATTACTAAAGTTTGAACTTTGAGAGTGTTTAAATGAGAGAAAGGTGTCAAAATGTTAATGCCTGTCTGAAAAAAGTGCATTAAGTGTGTAGTGTGGGGTTTTATAGCCTTACTAAGGAGTTTTACTGTAAAAATTAAGCTGACTACTTTGAAGATTTCAACTACTGCAGGATATTTTCAGACCATAACTCCTGCAAATAACAAGGAGCCGCTGTGTATTTTGGTGCAATATATCGTACAACAAAAATAGATAAACATGACTAGTCGCAATCTGAATAATCAGGCAAGAGTCAATCACTGCATCCGAAATCACATACAGTACAGTAAGTCCATACTACAGTGCATCTGGAAAGTATTCATAGCGCTTCACTTTTTTCACATTTTGCTATGTTACTGCCTTATTAAACATTGAATTAAATTCATTTATTTCCTCAAAATTCTACACACAATAGCCCATAATGACATTGTGTAAAAATATTTTTTTAATTGTTGCAAATTTATTACAAATAAAAACCTGAAAAATGTACATAAGTATTCACAGCCTTTGCTCAATACTTTGTTGATGCACCTTTGGCAGCAATTACAGCCTCAGGTCTTTTTGAATATGATTCCACAAGCTTGGCACACCTGTCTTTGGGAATTTTTGCCCATACCTCTATCAGGTTGGATTATCCAAGTAGGTCGAAACGTTGTGATATTAAAGGACTTTTGAGAGCTAAAATGACAGTGTGCCAATTTTCTTTTGATCGTAAGCGATGGTGTAGAGCCATTTTCAGATCTCTCCAAAGATTTTCAATAGGATATAGGTATGGGCTCTTGCTGGGCCACACAAGGACATTCACCAAGTTGTTGTGAAGCCACTCTATTTATATTTTGGAAGTGTGCTTTGGGTCGTTGTCCTGCCGGAAGATGAACTATTGCCCCAGTCTGAGATCAAGAGCACTCTGAAGCAGGTTCTCATTCAGGATGCTTTGCTGCATTCATCTTTTCCTCTATCCTGACTATTCTTTCAGTTCCTGCTGCTGAAAAACATCCCCACAGCATGATGCTGCCACCAACATGCTTCACTGTAGAGATGGTATTAGCCTGGAGATGAGCGGTGCTTGGTTTTCTCCAAACGTAACACCTGGCATTCAATCCACAGAGTTCAATTTTAGTCTTATCAGACCAGAGAATTTTGTTTCTTATGGTCTGAGAGTCCTTCAGATGCCTTTTGGCAAATTTCGGAATGGCTTCAGTCTGGCCGCTTTACCATACAGGCCTGATTGGTGGATTGCTGCACGTATGATTGTTCTTCTGTAAGGTTCTCCTCTCTCCACAGAAGAACGCTGGAGCTCAGACAGAGTGACCATCTGGTTATTGTCACCTCCCTGACTAAGGCCCTTCTCCCCTGATCACTCAGTCCCGGTAGTTCCATACATCTTACGAATGATGGAGGCCACTGTGCTCATTGGAACTTTCAGAGCAGCAGGCATTTTTCTGTAACCTTCCCCAGCCTTGTGCTCCGAGACAATCCTGTCTTGGAAGTCTACAGACAATTCCTTTGTCTTCATGCTTGGTTTGTGTTCGAATGTGTAGTACTCAAAAGAAAAATGTATTTGAAAATGTAATGACCTATTCATTTGACACAGAAATCTAATCATTCATCTCATTTCAAACTGCTTTTTAAAATTCGGATTGTTCAGACCGTTTCGAGCTGCAAATAAATAAAGAAAATGATTCAGATTTTTTCTCTCTCTCTCTCTCAGAGTAAAGCTTCATAGTTTGCTGTAAGTGGAATGCTAGGTTGCACTTTCATTTGGTCACAATAATTTGTTCTTCAGACATTAAACTGGCAGTTTGCTTGTTTTTTTTATTTTGTAATTTACTGTAAATCTCATTTCACTTGTGAAATGAGCAGGTTTCGCATTGGCTTTGTTTATCGTCTAGTTCAATTTGAGCTAATTAATGTTTAAAATCATGTTTTATTTAAAACGATGTTTTATTTATCTGATGGCTGTCCATTAACCAGCTCTGAGATTACTTTTCATTCAACTGCTTTTTTTCTTTTCTTTTTATTTATTGTCTTTTTTTCCCCCCACTCATCCCCACATGTCCTGCACGTTATTGCATGAACCCAAGGTTGACCAACAGTGGGTAAGTGTCCATTCTACCAAACTTACTTGCATTCAAATAGGACAAAATCCAAAGTGTGCAATTAACAATCAAAAGAAGTGAATATTTGTTCATCATTAACTCACCCTCATGTCATTCCAAACCTGTATGACTTTCTTCTGTGTGACTCTTGAAAGAAAAACAAAACATTGGCTTCAATTATAAGGACAAAAACAACAACACTACATTCTTAAAATATCAAAAATGACTGGAATCTCTTGTCGGTGTTATTTTAATATAACCAAATCAGTTACCGCTTCAAATGATTCCGATTTATAAACAACAGCTCGAATTTGATCACATTCGTATTTCTTTCTCATCTTCACATCAGTGCACATTTATATGTATGAAAGCTTCTGAAATAGAAGTAAACTATTTGTTTGTGTAGTTCAGATCTTGCCTCTCTTCTGAATATCACGGTCATTGTCGCTACTACTCTTTTCCAGTCCTAACAAAACAAAAACTGGTGCTAACTTTGCGCGGGGAAAAAAAGAGAGATGAATTTTCTCTGGCAGTGACACTTAAAGTATGTGGCCTTGTGCGGCGAGATAGTCGAACAGCAGAGCAACCGCCACTTTTATTTCCACTTACTTCTTAGTATTGGGTTAAAAGGTATTTCTAAACGCTCAACTGATTTTCCTTCACACGGTATTGAATTTAATGGCCATCGGTGCGTGTCGGCGTGTTCGTGAAAGACTTTATTTCAAAACAAAGAAAAGATTATTTTACCCGAGTTTGCCTGCCGCTTTATTTCAAAATACAAGGTTACGCTTTATAAGCTGCCATCTCGCTGAAGTGACTCTGAAGTGGATGGCTACCAGATAAATGTTTTCAAAAGAAATTATTGTTCTTTTGGTTTTCACACACACGGTAAAGACCTCCCTATTTAATCGTCGCTAATGCAAAAAAAAAAAAAAAAGAGAGCCCTCGCCGTTTAGCCGCAGAAAAAGCAAACATGGAAGTGTTAATTGAGGTAAAAAGTCCTCAAGATTCTCCTATAATGCCATTTATGAAAAAAAAAAAAACTGCCATTTTGCGCGCAGGGAAAAAAAGGGTGAAAAGAAAATTAGGGCTGCTGACAGTGACCTCTTAGCACCCTCAATTTGTCACCGATCTGCACGCATTGTTGATTGAAATTTTTAATTTGGGTGTCCTTTAGATTCGCTGTGAATGCCCATTGTTGGCAGAGATGAACTCCTTCTTGCTGCACATGCAGCAAAGGCATCTATTCAGCGTCCAAATGGATGCGTTCTCTCTCTCTCTCTCCCCCTGAGCCCTCGTTTTCTCCTCTCTCCTCCACAAAATAGGTGAATAAGACTTATCAGACATGAAATGGCGGATTAATTGAATGTAGTGTGAGCCTTTGGTCGCCGCAGCTGGACGGGTTCTTTAGAAAAACACAAGGCTGCCCTAATTGTGGCCCGCACAAAAAAGTATCCTTCAAATTCCTTTGCCCTAAACGAGAACAGGAATGCCATTCATTGGCATAATAGGCCTAATAGCTGCTTAACTCAGCCCTATTGCACAGGGAGGATTTTTCCCTCTCCCGAAATATGTCTTTGTGAGGGTGTTGTTCTTTTAGGATTGCCTCGCGTTGATCCACGTTTAGCCATGGTGTTTGTTGATGTTTCTCCTTTTCTTGTCCCGCAGCAGCAGTACCACTCCAAAATCGATGTCCTGATCGATGAGGCCTTTAAGGAAATGATCTCCTCCTTGGTCTCGAAGGTACAACCATTGTTTGGGTTCTTTTCACAACATTGAGATTTGGCTTTTGAGCATTCTCCTCAGCCGGCCTTCACTCGTGACTCGTGAAACGTTACATACAGAGTGTTCCAGCATATTGTTAGATTTCCAGCGAAGGTTACTTCAGCCTTAATTGTTCATTGTTGCATTCGTGTCTGTCACGCAAACATTGATTTTTTTTTTTTTTTGGTACAGTTTGCAGCTG